GCCTGCAGTGGCAATATCCTATATGGGCGTCGGTTCGAGTCCCAGCTGCTCCACCTCCAATCCAGCTCTCTGCTATGGCCTGGGAAAACATTGGAAGATGGCCCAAGTGCACTCATGTGGGAGACCTGGAAGAAGCTCCTGGCTCCTGGCTTTAGGAGGATCCGCACAGCTCTGGCCATTGCAGCCATCTGGGGAGTGAACCAGCAGATAGAAGACCTCTCTCTCTCTTTCTCTCTCTCTCTCTGCCTTTGCCTCTCTATAGCTCTGACTTTCAAATAAATAAATAAATCTTTAAAAACCAACCAAACCAAAAAACCAAAGGAACAAATACTGATGACTTTCAGTCGGAAGGAGAATATGGCCCAAGGGTTGCTGCTCCCCGAGCCTTCCTGGAGAAAGGGGGACTCTGGTGCTTCCACACACCCTGGCCTCCACGGCTGAGCTTCCAGAGTCCAGAGAAACAGAAGTCATGGTGCAGACCACAGGGCTTCCCAACGCAGAAGGAAGCTGGTTGGGGTGGCAGTATCTGAGAAAGACTAAAACCAGGTGCCACGTTATCATTCTCGGCTGGTATTCAGTCCATCTGGTGAAGTTTGGCCTTGAGATAATCCCACTGGATCTTTTTTATTAATGAGATCGGTAAAAGCCATCTTGTGTTGCATAGACTGTGACACTTTGGTTTTCTAAACTGAAGAGGTTTGTTTTCTTAGACAGGCTAAACAGGCTCTTGGTAATCTTGTTTAGATGACTGGTTTACTTAGCAAATCCTTTCCCCATTAAGTAGTGGAAAGTTAAAGTCTGGTTCATTGATCAAAAATGTCCAGTTAGCAGACAGACACTGAGCAAACTTTGTCACGTGGTCTCAAATTAAAACCAGCTCTTACATGAACTTTATCAGGTTCCAAAGAAAAAATATTTCTTGCTAAGAATAAGCCCTTCACAGCTTTTTTTTTTTTTTTGTAGATTTATTTATTTATTTATTTATTTGAAAGGCAGAGAGAGAGAGAGAGACAGAGAGAGACTTTCCATTCTCTGGTTCATTTCCCAAATGGCCACAATGGCCAGGGCTAGGCCAGGCCAAACGCAGGAGGCAGGAAGTCCATCCTGGTCTCCCGCATAGGTGGCAGGGGCCTGAATGCTTAGCCATCATCTGCCGGTTGGAAGCAGGGTGGCCAGGACTGGAACCGACTCTTACATACAGCACACGAGCCCGGCAAGCGGTGGTTTAACCTGCTGCACCACGACACTGGCCCCTGCCCTTCCCTCTTTAAAAAGGTGATTACATTACAGAAACTTACAAGAACAAGTGATTACAAAGGGTAAATGTCAAACTTCAGCTACTCCAGTTGAGTTGAGAACATGGGGCTTAACCTGTTTCACTGTTCTAGTCCCAGGGTCAAGGGGATCACAGCCACCGATGTCGTCAGCCGTCAGTCAAACTTGTGTCCCCATTTAGGGGCCAGGCGAGGACAGGGGAAGTGTCGGGTGGTAACGCAACCCCAGGAAGAGGACACGTGCTCCATAGCACCACACTCAACAAGTTTGCCGGTGACTTAACTTCTTACTCAAAATAAAAGGCAAATCTGGACCATGACTCTCGAAGAGCATCCGGGTGAGAGAGAGCTGTTCCTTGGACGATGACTGCTGGACGCATCGTGGCTTCCGTGAACGCAGCCCTGCACCCCCACGTCTGAGGAGAGCACAGCGTGGGCAGCCAGGCCCAGTGGGCTCCATGTCCTCCTCGGCGCTCCCACTGTCGGCTTCCTGTTCTAACTGGTGCCTTACGGGGGCTGATGGAAGCTGTGTGGACCCTGACTGCCTAGTGACTTGTCTTTGTGTGTTCACCCTGTGGTTCATAAAGCTAATTAATGGAGGGGACTGGCACTGTGGCACAGCAGGTAAAGCTGCCGCCTGCAATGCCGGCATCCCATATGGGTGCTGGTTGAAGTCCCAGCTGCTCCATTTCTGATCCAGCTCTCTGCTATGGCCTGGGAAAGCAGCAGAAGATGGCCCAAGTCCTTGGGCCCCTGCACCCATATGGGAGACCCAGAAGCTCCTGGCTCCTGGCTTCGGATTAGTGCAGCTCCAGCCATATGGCCATTTGAGGAGTAAACCATCGGTGGAAGACCCCCCCGCCCCGCCTCTCTGTTACTTTGCCTTTCAAATGAATAAATAAATCTGTAAAAAAGAAAAAACTAATGAAACAAGAAATAAGATGACTTTTAGCAAAATTTCAAACTGGGGCAGTTAGAACACTGTTAAGAACAAAAGGCACCAGATTGTATTCATCAACCATGAATATTCATGATCTATTTTCCTATATATTTAGTGCAAAGATATGAAACCTTAATGTACAAAAACAAACTTTAGGGGTGGGCACCTGCACCCCATGTCAGAGTGTCTGGGCATCTCAGCTCTGCTTCCAATCAGCTTCCTGTTAACACCCTGGGAGGTAGCAGATGAAGGTCCGAGTGCTTGGGTCCTTGTCTCCCACATGGGAGACCCAAGGGAATGCCAGGCTCCTGGCTTTGGCCTGGCCCAGCCCCAGCTGTTGCTGGCATTTGAGAACAGATGGAAGAATGATCTCTCCCTCCACCCCGGCCGTGTCTCTCACTGTCTCTACAGTCTGTCTTTCAAGTAAATACAAACAAATAAACTTAGAAAGACTAAACATTAATGAAAGTGACTGTTAAATAAAATATTATAGATTAACAAACAACGATCGGTGTACACTAAGTGTCAGCAAACCTCTCGGAAAGATCCACTATTGTACAAAGTGTATATGGACATGACAGTTTTTTCTGCATTAACATTTAAAAACCCCTTCATGATTTCAACACATTTCTTCTTTCATGGCTGTGTCTGAACCTTACGGGAAAGGTTGAGTCTTGGGATTCTTTTTTCCAAACACATGTTTAATTTTTTTCTTCTAAAATGACTCTCCTCATTAAAGTGAAAAGATGCAGCTGTTTTCAAAGCCATTGTTTCCTCATATTTCATTCAGAAACTCTCCTGACTGCTGGCGGGAAGATGGTTTCCATGTGAGACAAGGGGGACCGAGGACGCTTCCCAGCGTCCCGTTTCACCACTCGGGGAGCTGTTTTTTTTTTGTTGTTGTTGTTGTTTTTTGTTTGTTTTTTTTTTTTTTGCAAAGGTCTTCAAATGTGGGGAGACTGAGGCCGGGGCACGGATCACTGCAATGAAATGTAACAGCAGCTCTCAGAGTCCTGTGTTAGGAAAGGCTGTTCCACCAGGGAAACGCACGCATGCAGATGAAACGGGGCAATTATTTCGAACAATACAGCTCTTCTCCGGGAAAATCGTCTCCTCTTGGCCTACTCCGCTCTTCAAACAGGATTTAGAAAGGGCCCTTGCAGGGAACAAGTCAGCAACGAATCTGGTAACGTGAACTCAGGACTGAGAGATGTGTTCTGCTTTCGTGACAGAGGGCATGTAAAAGCCTTTGCATACTCCAATTCTGTCCAAGTTGCGAACATCTCACCGTGAACAGGAAAGCGCTCTTTTCCCTGCATGTAATTTAACCTCTTGTCTGCCTCTCAAATTATCCAGAAGACGACAGCACAAGAAATTCCTTTGTGAAACACAACTAGGAATAGTGATTCTTTGCTACCCAGTAACAAGGAATTAAAATTTTAAAAAGAAGTTTAAAAGCCTTCTGAGCTCCAGCAAATAAATTCTTAGGGGGAAAAAAAAAGAATTCCTGTGTGAAAAATGTAGTCAATTCTAAGTCCAAAATCTGCAGATAAAATCCATGTGAAAGGGTTCACAGCCACGCTCAAGGCTCAGGGTAATTAGCAGAGCTTTGGGGGGAGTGGGGAGGCCCGGCCCCTGGTGAGCCCTGGAGCTGGGCACACGTGGCACAAGACAACAGCAAAGCCGGACAGAGGCCCTGTGGGAAGACGGAGGAGGTCTCCTGCCGTCCTTCACTCCAGTTTCTAAATTAGATGGCGCTCAACACACACACACACGTCTTCCAGGCTGGACTCTCTGTAAGGAAAGTCTCGCCCCCGATCACCCTTAGATTCACTCTAGGATGGGTGTTTGACCTAGCGGTTAAGATGCTACTTGGGACACCTGCATCCCGCCACAGAGTCCGAGTCCAAGTCTCACCTTGGCCTCCCATCCAGCTTCCTACTCTGAGGCTGCAGATGACGGCCCGAGTACTTGGGTTCCTGCCCCCCCTATGGGAGACCCCAATTGGGTTCTGGGCACCTGGCTTCAGCCCGGCTCAGCCCCAGTTGTTGCGGGCATTTGAGGAGTGAAGCAGCTAATGAAAGATGTCTGTCTCTCTCTCTATTTATAAATACATTACTGACTCTCAATAAAAACGTTTAAAAAAATTTTAAATTTGCTTTGTGTCGTGCCCAACAAGAGTGCTTTTGGGCCACTAGATTTCCACTCGCTAACTTCATGTGCACGTCTTTCAGCGGAAAACCAAGGCTCTCGTGTTAGGTACTGCTAGTCCCATCTCCAAAGGCTTCTCGTTCTCCTCATTGCACCTTACTCAGCGGAATACAGAGGAACAGACATCAGCTCCTGACCTTCAGGGTAGAAAAGCAGCAGTCAAGGGAGAGGCACCTGGTGGGTTGTTCCCTGTATGCTGCATGAGAGGCGCCGTAACACTTGAGCCACAAGTTATTTCCATCGTTGAGTGAACCAGCAGGGGTGGGTGCCATCCGGTCTTCTGGGTCTGATCCTCTTTCTCTTGGTGTTATCAGAGTCTGCTCCAGGCACCACATTTGCTCAGGGAATTTGACAAACTTACCCAAAAGAGAGCCAAGTTGCTCAATCAGTGTGTTAATTGCTTAAAACCCAGTCATGGGAAAATCAGCCGAAGGCAGTGGGATGTTAGTGGGAGGATATGATTACTGTGCTCAAATATCTGAAGGGATACCACATGGCAGAAGACCAGCGAGGTCTGTTTTCATTTCAGAGAATAGAATGAGGATCCAGTGGCAGAAAAACTACAGGACAACAGGTTTCCGTTGAGCCAAGGTGGACATGTATTGAGTTGCTTGTCACTAAGTATTCAAGCAAAAGCTGGAAAACAACTTAACTGAAGCGTGTTTGCATGGAGCTGCATTGGAGGCAATGACCCATAAGAATAAGAACGCTTTCAGCTCTTGAGAGCCTTTTTTTTTTAGGCGCTAGAATAATACACACATCTGATTTGGAAAACTATTCTTAGAAAACAAACTAGTATGCCTTCTGAAGAGAACATTGTATTTAGAAACATTTCCACCCGTTTTCTTCAGAGGACCAAGTTGGAAGTAGAAACCCAGAAAGTAGCAGAATTCCGGGGGTGCTCTCCCTGCCCGGGGCTGGAATGCATGTGGTATCAGATGACACCTGTGATGAGCGCTGTGTCATCGGGAGCATTACCCAGAAAGCATGCTCCAACTGCTCTATGCTTGTAGACTGATCTCACACAAGATACACAAGCGTCACTGAAGATGCCGCCGCGGGCTCAGCATTCCAGGGGCTAGCTATGCAGTAAAACCATCCGACATGTCTTGAGACTAACAAAGGAGGAAGAAGCCTTCTGAACACGGCTGCATTAAGGGCAGAGATGGAAGCCAAAGTCCCACCAGTTCCCTTGCTCTGAATGCTGTACAACCTCACCTGGGTCTGCCTGCATCACGCGGGGTGTCCCCTGGGGTAGAGCATTCTTTTGGGGAGCACATCTCTTCAGTCATGCTGTTTGGTGGCCACAACATAATTGTGGCCTGACACAAGATGTCGTCTGTGACTCCTGGGTTAACAGACGTAGTACATGAAGAATTAGCTGTTTGGGCTAATGTGGGAAAGGCCTCAATTTGGGTAAAACTGTGTCAGTGGCTTTATGTAGGCTCCTCATGTAAACAAGCTGCTGGACAATTCATTTTTAAATTAAGCCTTACCAGAAAGTACATTTTAATGTGGTTTAGTTCTTGGATTCCCACTGAAGTGGTGCTATTAAAATTAGGGCAATTCCTAGTATTTATGTTGAGCAATCAGAAGCTTTGCTTGCTGCCAAGTAAATACACCAGAATCAAGATATCGGGTAAATGTGACTGCCTGAGGGGACTGAAACTTCCAGGTGATTCAAACTTTAAATCTCCGATTCAGCGCGAAGGGAGGATGGAAAGAGACAATTTTTGTAAGCTGCATATAAATGTAAAAAGCATACTTTTTGAAACAATAATATCCAATCAGCCAATCCAATAACCTAAAGAACTCATTGGATTTTTGGGATTGGTCACTATTCAAATGCAAATAAACAAATAAATAAAAACACCCCATCATTTGCAATGATGTGAAACACGCGTGCCCTGGTGTTCGGGGCTCCCTTTCTAAACTTCTGGATTTGACTTCCATTCCCAAACAATGACCGAGGCCCGCGCCTGACTGTAGCGCTATGTTTATTACAGTGTTTTGATTAACAAACTTTCACCGGGAAGTTCCGAGTGTGCGAACACAGCAGGCACAGTGGCTTCGATGTTTGGCATCTGGCAGTCCACAGAATTGCACTTCACTCTCACAACTCTGCTACAACCTTGTGGATTGTTGGGGCAGGATCTACACCCAGCCTCCCCCATTAAACGGTTAAATAGAAATTTCGGTTCATTCTGATTGCAACGTTCTGAGTTTGCGATTACATCGGTCTGTGACAAGCTCAGCTCCACTTTCCTCTCTGCCCTGTCGGCCTCATTCCCCAGACCAGAGACCGTGCTTCCAGGGCCCGCACTGCCCTCCGCGTTCCCCACGTCTCTGCGGTCACAGAGTCCCCTCTGGTTATCCTCAGCATCGCAGGCGTTCAGTGAAGGGCCTGTACTCCTGCAGACAAATGGCGACGGCTCTGCGGTCCCAGGCGGGTGCTCCTCTATGCTCTGAAGGCTGGGGACACTGGTCTTTCCCATTTTTTCTTGGGCCTGAATATGCTGTACTGGGTGGAGGAAATAATTCCTGGGCAGAGAATTCTGCATTCCAGGTGGGCTCGCTCTACCCAGCAGGCAGGGGCAGTGGTGGGCGTGTGGGATGGGATGCACGTAACCCTCGGTGGCTTGGGGCACAGCCTTCCGATGTGCCACGCCATTGTGGATCTGGACAAAGCCGCAGGCAGTAGGAACACACTGGTGGCACAAGGAGTCCTCTATCTGCTGGCAGGAGTGTGGGCCATACTGCAAGTGTTTGTAGGCATTCGGGCAGCTACATCTCTGATTCAGAGAGAACAAGTGACACATGGTGTGTTGTTCAAGCGAGGGCTGGATCAGGGCCGAGCTGGGCTCGTTCTTGGCGTTGAGCTCACTGTTGTAAGTGGCCTGCACAGGCATCCCTAAATTCTTTGCTTGGTTGTTTAAAAACTCAGAGCAGATGTGGGTCTCTTCGTACGTGGTCTTCTCAGAGGCGATACAGCTGTGGGATGCCAGAGGTTCTAATTCATAGAACTCATGCTCCAGTTCGGGTTTTTGGCCCCTGGGACCCAGGTGGTAAGCATTCATGGAGTGTGTTTTGCTTTGTCCCTTGTCGCCAGGACTTGTAGACAAGGCGTGGGAAAAGGCACTGCACTGTAGCTTTTTAGGTAAAGGAATCTGACCACAGGTACCCTGCGGCCCAAGGCACCGACACAGGCACTGGAAAAAGAAGGTGGCAAAGGCCCAGCTGACGCCCATGATGAGCATCATGAAGGTGCCCAGCTGGGTGTAAGCCAGGACTGTGGAGGGCATCATCATGGCCCCGGCCACAAAGGTAGTCAGAGCGGCCATGGCAATCGCGGAGCCCATGCGGCTCAGAGAGAAGACTACCTTGCCTTCTCGGTCAGCATCTGGAGCCAGGCAGTAGGCAACGCCATAATGGACAGCGAAATCTACAGACAAGCCGACTGCCACAGAAATGGTGACCGATTCCAATACGTTCAGCTCCCAGCCCAGGAGGACAAGAGAGCCCACGGTGACGAATATCGTTCCGGCTATGGAAAGAATAGCGTACAGGCTGATGACGATGTTCCAAGTTGTCAGCAGCATCACGCTAAATGCCACAGCCACCGAGAGCCCCATGGCAATGAGCGTGCCATCAGACAGGCTGTCCTGGAGGTCGTAGAACTCCAGATTGCTGACGAACCAACCACTGCTGAGGCCCTCAGGCGCAGAGCTCAGCTCACTGGAAATCCACGCGTCCACCTCTTTATAGAACTGATGCATTTTTTCATAGGCCAGGGTGAACAGGTAGGTACTTTGGAACTCTAGCACCACAGCTCTGATTGTGTCATTGATGTCAAACCTCGGCCCGGGCGTTTTGCTGTCCAGGTGGTACCCCGTGCTCCTTTCCAGCTCCATGATGGCCCGCTTGATGCACAGTTCAAAAATCTCTTGCTTATAGGGGAAGCTCCAGTGGCTGCAGCACGGGTAGAGGGCAGGCTCGTCGCAGTCCTGGTTCTCCATCCACTGTCTGAACGTTTCAATGAAGCAGCTGGTGAAGTCCTGCTCATCGGTCTGGTGGAAGAAGGTTTGGTTTCTCAGTTTTTGGCAGAAGTGCAAAATCCAGGCCTGAGAGGCTGGGCTGGCGATGTTGAAACTGCTATCCAGCGTCAACTTCCCTTTGCTCTTGGGGTTGAGCGGGTTGCCGTTGTCTTCGGGGGTCACGCCCCAGATGACAGTAATGGGCATGTGCAGCTCCTCTCCGTGGTGGACGCGTTCGAACATGAAGAGCTTTTTGTATTCGGCATCGTAACGTTCAAACGGGTGAGAGGACCTGAACACCTGGAACTCGGAGAGCTCCAGCGAGGGCAGCTTCATCTTCGGATTGACACACACGATGTAGGCGCCCCCGACCGTTAAGGCGAGGAACCAGAACAGCCAAAGGTAGCGGAACTTAATGACAATGCACGGCAGGACTTTCTCAAAAAAGATTCGGGATGCTTCGGAAATGGCAAAGAGTACTTTGTGGCCCTTCTGGCAAGCCACTGCCCAGCAGCTTTTGGTGTCGTAGACTTGCTGGGGCTTTCGGAAGCAACTGAATAGATTGAGAAGATAGCGTTCGTGTAGCACAACAACCGCTGGGAGCCACGTGACCATCAAGACGTAATTCACTAAGATAGCTGTCCCCGCGTACACGCCAAAGCATCTGATTGCTGTGATGTTGCTAACATAGTTAGCGTAAAAGGCAGCGGCAGTGGTAAAACTGGTGACGAACATGGAGAGGGCGGTGTGCTGCAAGGTGACGCCCACTGTTTCCGAAGTTTCGGCGTGGGGCTTGTCAAATTTGGTGTAGTTCCACACATCACAGAGCACAAAAGCATCGTCTGCTCCGATTCCGACCAAAATAATGAGTGCGGTGAGGTTCATAAAAGGGAAGAATTCAAAGTTAAACACTACGCGATAGAGAAAATAGGAGACGATCAAGGAGCTGATTATCGCAAACATTGTCATCAATGTGATAAACATGGACTTAGTGTAGACACACATGACCAGGAGGACAATCACAATGGCTATGGCGGGATACACAGTATCCATTAGAAGATAATCTTGAAACAACCTGTGTTTGATACCAAACTCAATGCCAGTGACGGTGGTCACGCCGTCAGAAGAGTTCCAGTTTTCGAAGTTGTCCAGGTAAATGCTCATCATCCTCTCCCCTTTCTCTGTGGGAGAGAAGAGCATGCTGTATTTTAAAGCCGGCGTGGCATAGTCGCCCGTCTTCGGGGTCATGAAGTCTTTGTCCACCAAGTAATGGAGGATCTGGTACACGGCGTTGTACTTGGTACATTTGCGCGGCACGTTGGTGCACTTGAGCTGATCCTTTCTTCTGGCTGCCATGTCCCAGCAATCTGGTCCCAGGGTGCCATTCTGGTAGTGTTTGGCACAGGTGCGAAGCAGTTTCAAGGTGTGAGAGACGTCCCGCTCGACGATCTTCTGACAGGACGACCTGTTGTTCAGAATGGCGATGTAGTTCCCCAGCGTCCAGCTGGGGCAGCAGGAAGCAGCAGTCGTCCTCTGGCAGAGGTTGCCAAACTGGGGATGAGATCTGATCTGCAGAGACAGAGACGCGGGGAAGGAGCGGGGTTTACACGGGGTCACAGCTGGGCTGTTTTCTGGCTTCCTCGAGGGACAGGAAAAGCTACAGAAGCTAAACAATTCCCCTTCCAAATCAGGATCGGTTTGATTACCACATGAGCTTCCCCCTAAAATGATCTCTTATTACAGGGTACTATCTCTAGGTTATTTATTTTGAACAGCAAACTACTGTTGTGGGATGACGTACAAGTGTGAAACTTCAACCAAGGCTACTTTGGTTTTAGAAAGCAGATAAAATTAACACCCACTTAGTAAACAAAGTCACGGTAAAAAGCACTACAGTGAACAGGTTGTGAAGCTCACGTTTAGCCACCTACAGAATTCAGCAAACAACTGTCCAACTGCTACAGGAAACAAAACCGTGCCTGTGCCTGAAATTTCTGCTTCTCATCAGGAAAGTTTCAGTGACAGAGTTACTGGATCTTAACACGGGCTGGGAGGGACGATGTAAACTGTTGTGGTTTGAATGCTGTGGCTCCCTAAGTTCCCAGCTGGAATCCGAGCCCCCAGCACGACAGTGTGAGAGATGGGGTCTCTGGGAGGTCATGAATGGGATGAGCGCCCTCACAGCAGGGTTGGAGGGAGCTCAGGTGTCCCTGAGCGTGGAAGGCACTGTCTACGAGGAACGGGCCCTCCCCAGCCAATCTGCTGGCTCCTTGGTTTCAGACTTAGCAGGCTGCAGAACTGTGAGAGAGAACTCTGCTGTTTCTAACTACCCAATCTAAGGTATTTTGTACAGGAGCCCAAAGACAGTAACGCAAAGCCAATCTGGTGAATAAAATGTGGCCCCTGGTAATATCAAAATCACTGACGGCAAAATGTATGAAGCACTCAGACTAGAATTGTTTTCTGAAATAGGTGTAGAGAGTGGGTAATATGTCTAAATTAAAATATTATTTGTCTGATTTTGAATAAATATATACAATTTAAAAATAAGTAAAAAGAAATTCAATGACTTCTTCCATAGTCTGTAAGTTGATTCAGGGTTGTTAAAATCCTTGTTTGGGAACATTCTCTTCTGGTGGACGGCTGTGTACCAGCAAGGATGGCACACTTGGGGTTTTACTCGGAACGCTGTTCCTTCTCCTGGCTGTGGTGGTCATACAAACTGTCTCACTACCGGCGCTGCCGGGTTCTAGTGAAGTATGTACAATCCCGTGCTGTATATTACACGCCTCTTCCTGGGAGTGAGAAGAAATGCCCCCTCATGCCCCTTCCCTCCACCCCCCTTTTTTTTTCATTTTAAAGATTTACTCATTGGGGCCAGTGTTGTGGCCAAGCCTCTTCCTGTGGCGCTGACATCCCATATAGATGCTGGTTTGTGTCCTGGCTGCTCCTCTTCCAATCCAGCTCTCTACCATGGCTTGGGAAGGCAACAGAAGATGGCCCAAGCCCTTGGGCCCTGGCAAACATGTGGGAGACCAGGAAGAAGCTCCTGGCTCCTGGCTTCAGATCAGCCCAGCTATGGCCATTGTAGCCATTCGAGGAGTGAACCAGCAGATGGAAGACCTTTCTCTCTGTAATTCTACCTCTCAAATAAACAAAATCTTTAAAAAAAAAAAAAGATTTGCATATTTGAAAGGCAGAGAGAGAGAAAGAGAGAGAGAGAGAAATCTTCCATCTACTGGTTTACTCCCCAAATGGCTGGGGCTAGGCCAGACTGAAGCCAGGAGCCAGGAGCTTCATCCAGGCCTCCCATGTGGGTACAGGGGTCCAAGTACTTGGGCCACCCTCCATACTTTCCCAGACACATTAACAGACAGCTTGATCAAAGTGGTGCAGCCGGGATTCGAACCAGCATCCATATGGGAATACCAGCTCTGTGCCGCAGGGCTGGCCCATCCCCTTCTCTTGAGAAGTCCCAAAGCAGAAGATGCCCTGGTCCTATCACTTTCCCCCATCTCTGTTTACTAAAGGCTGTTCCAGGGAAGAAACTCCAAAGTCCAAGAAGGGTGTGAACTAGGCTTGTCAAGCACGCATTGAAAAGTCTTTTCAAAGCAGAGGAGAAGTTGGCATCAGCTCTTTGGAACTTGGATCTAACCAAGAATCAAATCACTTATGGTCCCTGAAATCCTGGTGTGGCAATACTTTACTGGGGCGTAGATGAGTCAGACTGGCCACGCGCTGAAAACGGCTGAAGCTCAGTAATCTGCTCATGGAGTTTCAGAGGCTGTTTCTCTACTGTTCATATGCTTGAAAGTTTCCATAATAAAAAGTTGGATGGGGGTCAGCATTGTGGTGTAGCTGCCATCTATTAGGCTGGCATCCCTTATGGGACTGGCTCAAGACCCAGCTGCCCCACTTTTGATCCAGCTCCAATCTAATGCACCTGGGAAAGCAGCAGTAGACGGCTCAAGTGCTCGGGCCCCTGCACCCACATGAGATGGGGATGAAACTCCTGGCTCCTGGCTTCGGCCTGGCACAGCCTTGGCCACTGTGGCCACTTGGGGAGTGAACCAGCAGATTGAAGAGTCTCTTTGTCTCTCCCTCTCTGTTACTCTGCCTGTCAAATAAATAATCTTAAAAAAAAAAAAAAAAGGCACTTCGTAGGGGCCGGCGCTGTGGCACAGCAGGTTAAAGCCCTGGCCTGAAGCACCAGCATCCCATATGGGCACCAGTTCTAGTCCCGGCTGCTCCACTTCTGATCCAGCTCTCTGCTATGGCCTGGGAAGGCAGTAGAGGATGGCCCAAGTCCTTGGGCCCCTGCACCTAAGTGGGAGACCTGGAAGAAGCTCCTGGCTCCTGGCTTCGGATTGGTGCAGCTCTGGGCTGTTGAGGCCATCTGGGGAATGAACCAGCGGATGGAAGACCTCTCTCCGTCTCGACCTCTCTGTCTCTACCTCTCTCTGTAACTCTTTCAAATAAATAAAAAAATAAATCTTAAAAAAAAAAAAAGAAGAAGGGTTGCCTCCTAAGGAGACGTTTGGGATTGTAAAGACTTTTCAAATGTAAACAACTGCCATTAAAAAAAATAGTCACTTCCTATCTTTTCTATTAGGCATAAAGAAAAATGAGCCAAAAGGGTTATTATTCAAATGCACTAAAATAATATTTACTTTCACAAAGAGTGCATTTTTAAAAGCTCATTTCTGAAGAGCAATAATTAACATTTCACCAAACAGGATAATTCATATTGTTTCCAGGTAAAAACATTCACATATGCTAATTTGGAGAAAATGAAAGCACCTGAATTTACTAAACTTATTAAACCCCGGCATAGCCCTTCACTGGCTTCCATGCAGATTTTATTCCACAGAGAAATAACACGGCAGCCTGAGTCAGCCTGGCGAACTGAAAGAAAAGGAACTCAACCCCACTGTCTGGCAGCTTTCACACGAAAGACAGTGAACTATATCAGCTAGAAGGAACATATCTGTAGTTGCTGAAATAACCAAAAGTCAAAGATAAAGGAAATAAAGTTGCAAGCTAAACCTGGCAAAGAAAGCACAGAATTCTGCCCTTGAATAACCTTTTCCAACCACAGCAAGTGTTTTTAAAATGTGTGTATTTGACCAAAGATTTAAAAATTGGACATTATAAACACAGACCAAATACTACTTTGATGGCTGCTATCAAAAACAAATGCTAGTTAGCCGCTGGGGAGCCAATCCTCCAATTCAAAGGTGGTGTCCCCAGTGCACAACATCTGGAAAACCGCTTTCAAGGACTCTTACAAGGTAAGAAATAAGGACAGAGGGAAGACACCAGGGCTGGGACTTTCTACCACCCCGCGTTGCCTGCCAGCACCCTGAATCGGAAGGATGTTATTGGTCAAGGAATTGTCTGTTTTCAGGGAGGAAGGCCTTATGTTCTCTTCCATTTTTTCATCCAAAAGGGAAAAAAAAAAAGGTACTGAGGACGTAAACAAGATGAATAAGGCACAGTGTTCCCTATCCTCAAGCTGCTCAGTGCGGCTGGGAAACTGGATGAAAACTAAACAGCTGCACTGCAGCGTGCTTCGTATCATCTTAGTGTGCGAGGTGCTGCTGACTTGCAGAGGGAGTGTGGCAGTCTGCTGGGCGGCCCTGAGTCGACTGTGGCTGAGATGTGCAGATACAGAGGCTCCAGTTGTGCTGTGGCTCCGAGAGGTCGGCAAGCAGGATTAGCTTCACACAGAAGGCGGCTGTATTTTTGTTGTATTTTTGGAAAATGAGACTCAGAAGAATAATTTCAAAATCTTTGAAGTTTACAAAATAAAAATGGAGAGCAATTTCTTAGGACATACATGAGGAAAACGGCCCTTCTAATTCTAGTTATTCACAAATTGGATGTTTCAGGGAATCATTTTGCTTCTGTGGTTATAACATGGCTTTGCACACTTCCCTAGTTAGATAGTAGCAGGGTGGAGCTGACTTAAAATAGGGGCTGCAAGAAGAGAAGAGAGAAAAAGAAGAAACCAGCGGGGCTCTAAATGATACCTTAACTTTTAAAACCATTGGCTAAGTTGCAGATATTTTAAGACGCTGAAAAAAGAATAAAAGGAGGAAAATTAAGCCCTTATCACGGGGTTCCACTGACTGCAGGAGTCTCCTTCCCCTGTAAGCAAGTCGCCCATGCACTGAAAGTTAAAGGCAGCGCTTAGGCAGAAGGGAGGAAACTAGGGTTCCACAGCCCCCTCTGACATGAGCATCAGGAAATGTGTTTCTGGGGTCCTCTAAGTGGCAGGGGGAGTCCAGCTGTCCACAAAAGTCACTCCAGTAAACAGGGTCTCAAGCACCAAATTTCAAATCTCTTTTCCAAGCTGAGTGCTCACAGCCCCAGTGTCTCTAGTGCACCAAGACTCAGGAGTGGGAAAAGGAGTAGAGGAGGCGAGCAGGGAACAGACTTCGTCTCCTTCGAGTCTAGGAAAATGGGCATTTCTGCTGGGAGGTGGACAGCAGCAGCCGAGAGAGGCTGTTCACCTTGGGAACCAGCGCCTGCCTGAATTGTGAGTGAAAGTGGTTTGTGATTTACAGGGAATCCGGAGTTTGAATTAAATGTGCTGTAAACACAGGCAGGAGACAACCAAAACATCTGGTCTCACTGAGATATTACACTGATTACCAGACATTTTCTGGAATCAACTCAATGACAATTAAGCTCTTCTGTTCTATGTCATTTGGTTGTGTCCCATTTAACTTGAGACTTGTTAATAACAAAGGACTTAAGTATAATAACCAGAATTGGAGGGGCGGGGCAGGAGGATTACCAAGCAGTCTTTCCTCAGGATATGGTCTACCCAATTCACCATAGGGGCTTGAGCTGGTAGATTTGAAGAAGGCAGCAATAATTAAAAAGCTGAACTGTTAACTACATTTTACTTAAGGTATCTGATGAGTATATTATCTTTATGAGGAAAGTTTATTATTCTGGGTTCACAAAGGCATCTGCAATTGGTAAAAACAGTATTTAACAAGTTAACGTTATAATCATGGTCTCTGAGGTAGACTCCTGGGGCTTTGTGAGTGGCTTGTTAACAACCACTCATCCAGACATGTGCCTTGGGACTGTTCTTCAAGTTCTCACAAGAGTACCACAATCCTACTCTCTTCCCAGTTCATTGCCAAAGTGTGCACATATGCTCTTAGTGTGTGACCTAGAAAATATGCATGTCCTGCTATTATCAGGTATTATGAACCTGAACTCACTGCTGTTGAATCCTTGTCATGAGTCCAGCACAGATAAAGACTCAGAGAAGCAGAAAACATTTATTCCTTTAGATAGTTTTAAAAAATTCTGCAAATGCATCAAGCCAAGCCATTAGAGAGCTACATTTGCAAATGTTACCGCTTTAATCCCTGTAGGTATTCATTTACTATAACATTTGCTACTACTCAACTACTTTTGTTTCATAAATCAGCTGTCATTCAGTGTTGTATCTCCTATAAGCATGTGGTTAAGAACTCTGTACACAACATCTCATTTTTATATAGACTGCAAAAAATGATTCCCTACATGTCTTAGTTTATTCTTTCCTGAAAAACAAATTTTGTTACCCTACTTATATTTAATGATTGGGTAAACTTTTTTGCTTAAGCAGCTTGGAGGTTAGAGAGAACTTTGCAGCTCACTTACCACTATAAATGTACAGGATTGTGGGATACGTATTATTGCAGTTAAATCTTAGTCTTAGCTTTATTATTTTCCCTTCATGTAATTCATTCAATTTATTTATCTTACGTTTGGTGTTTTTGTAAGCTACCTCACTATGTTGATTTTTTATCATCTGATACAGAGATAGGCAGATACACAGATAGATGAAATAATACACTGGTTCCTTTTATGAAAGCTGCCATCAAACAGGATTGCTTCCTGGTTCCTGAGTCTTTGAGTGCGTTCACTCTAACATGTACTCGTGGAATACACTGCTAGCTCTTAAAAAACAAACAAAAAAGATGCTTATTCCAGGCCAGGAAGCCTCTTAAAGGTTTATCTGAGTAGGAAATGAAGTGAAACACGTGAAATGAAACAAAACCAAAATGGGAGACTGTCTTCATTATGGAAGCATAAAGCAGAGTGGATAAAAGTATAAACTCTGGAATCTATGTGAACTTTTCTCATTTACAAAATGAGCAAAATAATAGCACTTAATTCATAACATGGTTATGAGCATTAACGGACATAATTCAAGTGCTTAAAACATTTCCTGGCACATGGTAAATGCTCAACAAATATTGGCTTTAGTTAGTTGAGTGAATTCAATCCTTTAGAGTGTTCAGGGATACGGAAGGTCTGAAGATCAACCTATGATGGAATAATGAGAGGTAAAACGTAAAAAAATTAATGAGTGCTCCGATCCAAAGTGTAATTATAAAGTAACCAGACTGGCTCAACTTTTCTGCGTTTAACTTCTAATTTGCCATGTTAAAAGGTGCTATAAATTCCAGGGCTACAGACCTATTGTGAGCTTACAGCCTTACACAAATGAGGTATCACTACATATTTATACTTTATAGAGAAAGCTTTCTATATGAGAAAGTGTCATAATACATGACAAGGAGAAATATATTCACAGCCTACAAATAAGGAGCTATGGGTTGTAGAAGAAAAGAACATATAGCAAATAAAAATTGGCCACACATTAAGACACTTTTTGTTTATAGATGGTTTATGGCTTTGGAGTTGGGCAAAAAAAAAGATGGTGCTTACAGAAAATCCTGACATCTCAATCAATAGGAAAGTCATTTTTAAACACATCAACAGCCTCCCAGGGGCAGGCATTGTGGCACAGCAAGTTAAGTCACTGCTTGGAATACCCGCAACCTATATTGGAATGCCTGGGATGGAGTCTGATCTCCACTTCTGATTCAGCTTCCTGCTAATGCGCACCCTAGGAGGTAGCAATTGGTGACTCAAGTGCTTGGGTCCCTGCCACCCACATGGGAGACCCAGATGGAGTTCCTGGCTCATGGTTCTGGGGCTGGCCCAATCCTGGCTATTGCAGAACACAAGGAGTGAACCAGTGGATGGATGATTTCTCTCTCTCTCTCTCTCTCTCTCTCTCACACACACACACTCCATCTTTCAAATAAAAACAAACTTTTCATAGCCTCCAAAAACAAAGAATGTGAAAAGCCAGGAGATCTGGGAACAACTAACTAGGTGACCTGGGTAAGCCATTTAGTCCTCTGAAAGGTTTATATCAGCACACTGTGGGAAACTGGTTCAGGTGACCTCTAAGAGCCCTTGTAACTCCAGTTCCAAAAAGAAGTCCTGTCAATAAAACAGGAGATTGCATATTGTCAGGCTAGCTCTTAGCACAGCACGTGATTTGATTTTTAACTAACCAGTGACTTTACATTTTTAGAACTATGCTAAGAACACAATAGATTCCTTTCCTGCCTGGTTGTTGTGTTTGGACAGGTCCATTAGTCACATCAGACAGCAATTTCTAATTGGAGAAACTGCCTTTGAACATATGAGATGACAGCTCTTCCAAGCCCAGGGGCTGACTCTGTGTTTTCTGGTGTTGACATCTTTTTGGCTCTAGAAAAGACTAAGACAGGAAGTGCTTGTCTTCTTGCATCCTGGTTCTTCTGAAGCCACAGGTGTTGAGTTCAGGGCAGTCTGTTTTGGGCTGCTCTGGCCATTTATACAGATACTGTATTCAGGCCTTTGATGACCCTTTCCCAGCCTGTTCACTTTAGGTCCTTGGCCCAAATAACATATTGATCGTCAGACAGGCAGGCATTAAATTGCATAATTAATATGCTGTCAGCTGCCTCAGGAGGACAAGCTAGTGAACAATGAAAGTACAACGAAAGAAGAAAACAAGTCTTAAACTGTGGGGAGCAACTCGGACTAGACTGTTACTGGAATTAAGACTTATTCTATGCATCTGCTCTCCCACAATATGGCGCTGAGAAGGGAGTAACAACTTCTACGCAGCTGCCTCTCGCCAACTTGAGTGATGACCTGCAGGAGCTGATCCTGCTCCTGATTGGAGGAGAGCAGCGTACTCGGCGTGTGGGTAGCAGAGTTGGGATTGGTGGAAGAGGACTATAAAGGAGGAGAGAGACAACATGCACCAGGAACATCTATCCGAATAACATCTGAGCAGCCCCCGAGAGAGCCGGCCGGCGGTGTGCCGCTCCCCCACGGAAGTGGGGAAAGTGGCAGGGGGAACCGCCCTTCCACGGAGGTGGAAGGGACGGCAGCCAACCTGGGAAGAACCAGCAGCAAACCCGGGAAGGGCCGAGCAGACAAAAGAACAGCGCAGGGTCCTGTGTCGTTCCTCCACGAAGACGGGGAGCGACATTAAACTACTGTTCTGAAGTAATAGAAAAGATCAACATGGAGAGAAAATGTAAGTTGCAAGAGACTGGGATCTTTATTAAGGAAGATGGCATGTTTTGAAGGTGGGGGAACACAGGGCCGCTCTGCTCCTGGAAACTGAAAGAAGTCAAGGCTGTGAGCTGGCCCTGTGGCATAGCAGGTAAAGCCACTGCCTGCAACGTTGCCATCCCATATGGGCGCCAGTTTGAGTCTTGGCTGCTCCACTTCTGATCCAGTGCCCTGCTAATGGCCCAGGAAAAGCCTCAAATGTTGACCCAAGTGTTTGTGCCCCTGACACCCATGCGAGAGACCTGGAAGAAGCTTCTGGCTCCTGGCTTTGGCCTGGCCCAGCCCTGGCCACTGCAGTTACCTGGGGAATGAACTAGCAGATGGAAGATCCATCTCTCTGTTTCCCCCTCCCTGTAACTCTGACATTCAAATAAATAAATCTTTTTTTAAAAAAAATCCTTGTTTAAAAGAAGAAGGCAAGGTTGGCATTCTGGAGTCTGTCCTTAGCAGGTATGTCTTGCAGTGCTTTCCTGACTGGACACCAGGTCAGCAGTAAGAGGAGTTTTTCAGTCATACAACCTTATTTGTGCTAAACAGATCTCGGTTTTACTTTACATACCCTGGAATTATCTACATTGCACATTGATTTGATTGCAGGTAAATTCCATAACGTTTCTCCTCCAGCTGAAGTAAATACCACCCTGGAGTATCGGTCACCTAGCAATATGAAAAAAAAAAAAAAAAGAAAAAAGTTGATAAGTTCTTTATTTCATAAGACTCATCATTCAGGAATAATTCAAACTGGGAAGCTGCCTGGATAATTCATTAGCAGCAGGGGATTATCTCCTTTGATAAATTCCAGGAGAAAATGTAAAAAAGAAAAAGTGATACTATAATATTGCCTTAGCTCAAAGCCTTTATCTATTCACTATATCTTAAAACTGTAGGAACTATAAAACAAATCTATTTCTGACCAGACTATAATTAAGAAGACAAATCTATAATAACTTTCAACAGGAAATTAATTGACTGCCTTCTTAATTTCATAACACATAATCAGAACAGTTTACAAAGTCAAAGAATGATACACTGGGAAATATCAGGAGTGGGTCACAAAGATACCCTCTCTGGTGGCTAATTACAGTGAAAAGACGCGAGGTGATTAATTTAAAAGCATTAAAATGCTGGCCAGGATCACAGACATACTCCATATTCTGATCTCTCTGGTATTCCAGAATCCAGGAAAAAATACTTTGAAATCAGATTTAAGAGTAGTGGTGTGGTGCTGTGGGTTAAAACGTCTCTTGGGGACGCCTGCAACCCCCATCAGGGTTCCTGGCTCAAGTCTTGGCTATTCCACTTCTGATCTAGCTTCCTGCTAATGTATCCTGGGAGGCAGCAGAAGCAAAAGATGGCTCAAATGCCTGGGCCCATGCCACCCAAGTGAGACTTGAATTGAGTTCTGGGCTCCTGGCTTTGACCTGGCCCAGCGGTGGCTGCTGTTGTGGGCATCTGGGGCATCTTCCAACAAATGGAAGAATTCTCTTTCTCTGTGCTTTTCAACTAGATAAAAATAGCAGGAATCAGATCAATAGAAAGTGTTCTAGAATAAGGCAGGTTGGACGATGTACTGGAAGGAGCAGGGTGTTTGGAGTCAGGCTCAGGTATAACCAGGTTCTGCCATTTACTCGCGGTGTGGCCTTAGGGGATTAACAACTCTGAGCCTGGCTCCTTATATATCTCAAATAGTTGTAAGAATTAAATGAGATAAATGAAAAATAGATGCTCAGTAACTATTGTTTCTATCTTTTCAGCCATTAGAAAAAACCTTAATATGAACTAAATGAACTGAGCAGGTTAATTTTGATACCTAACATGTCTACTGTGCTAACAAAGAAAATCAGTTGACAAATTAATGAGTCAAGCTTCATTCCAAAGGTTTTACTCATGATCGTGAAGTTTTCTTTAGTCAGCTGTTGTCGCCATCAAATTGCAATTGTGTAGGCTGATTTGGGGAGCAAACTCAGCCTTGTGGAAACGGAACCTTTCCAATGACACAGAGTTGGTAGTGGCTTTCGTCAAAGCAGAACCTATTACTCATGAGACAAATATTTAGTACTGAATACTGAAATATGAACAAGACTACATTTAAGGAATCTGCTCATGTTCTCCCTGTTAAATAACAGCTATTGGCTAAGCAGTAACGGACAGTAACACTTTGAGAGAAATAAACCAGCCAAAAACATGCAACTAATCAGAGCTCAACTTTCCTGATACATTTTTTGAAGAGAGGGACAAGGAAACTTGTATTGCCTCCTGGGGTCAATGTAAGGTCCCACCTCATCTCCCACTTTCACACAGTGAAGTGCTCCAAATAAAGACCCTGAGACTAGAAAAATCAAAGATCCCAATCAAGCCCTCTAGTGTTCTATTAAGTCAAGAAAATATATATTTAAGAGGACTTTTCAATGATAACACCAACATGGGAACCACTAGAGCTTTAAGGTTAACATTTCCCTGATCCGAAATTCTAATTATCCCCAAGTCCTCATTCCTGATCACTACGGTTAATCAACGACTCACACACTCGTATGTATTCCTCTATGCCAGGTGTTTCTCCTTCCCCGCAGTTGCACAGCGCTCAGGCTGACTTTATGCTATGCTGAATTTTGTTTAGCCAATTTGCTGCCAATATTTACAATTCTGGTGATTCCACAATAAAATCTGGATTCTTGACCTCTAAAAAATTCTTGTAACATCTGGGCCCTCACTTCTGCAAGGCCACATTCTGCTGAGTTAGGGAACAGGTTTAGATGAAGCAGGTGCCATTTCTGCTAGCTTGATTTACTCCTGTTGCGCGCCAACCCCGGAGGCATTCAAACTCTGGACCTCTGGACTTTATTTTCTTAACCTCTCTATCTGTATTGCACAGTAACAAGGCAGGCACACAAAAAAGCTCTTAATAGATGTTTTTTGAGTGAATCAAAGCTTATTTTTAACAATACAATGGGTTATTTCAGGATTAAATCCAAAAATATATACTTACTACTTAGTCTAGAAATAATACAAGAAATTTTTAAAAAATGATTTAAAATTTGAGAAAAGTTAAGAATTTTATTAGATTTATATGCCCCCTTAAAATTAAGTATAACTCAACCATCTCTTTTTCTTATTTGTTTTTATTATAAATAGGTAATTCAAACTAGAGGTTGACTAATCTAGAGGAGTCAAGTAAGAAGTTAATTGGCTAACACCTCTGAACACCTGATGGCAACAGTGGAGCTGTGGGACTAGCCACACCGCTCTCAGTTCAGACTGTGATCACGTTCAATCCTGAATGCCAGGACATTGCTGAGGGGTTTGTTCAGCTACAATGCCACTCACTTGGAATGTCGCAGAAAAAGCTGTCTTTGTGGAAGTTCCAGTCAACTTCTCTTTTTTCTCTTTCATAATGATCATCTGACCATCTGTCATCCCGGTGGCTGAAACAGAACCACAATTTGATCCTCGGTAAAGGTCTAGCTATTTTAAGGCAATTCTGTGTACCTATAACAGCACATTCTCAAAGCTACCTCTCCAGTGCTTAATATTAAGTTGGAAGGATTAACAAGCGATTAATATAAATTTTCTCATTTCATTTCTGAAAAAAGAATATAAAATCTCATGTTTTTATCCTACGGCAATACAATTTTAAATGACAATGAGAAGTTAAATTTAGTGGCAAATGATTTTGAACCACACATTTTACTTTTAACCTTTTTGCTCTAGCCATATTAAGAGAGGAATTCATTAAGCATTATTTTGCTTCAAAGTTTTATAAAAACAGTTACCTTTTGGCTTGTTCATCTGCATATTTAAAAGGATAATTTGCTAATGTTGCTTTGTATCCTGTATTTTTCACCATATTATTCCATGTGACCAGTCTCTGACCTATTGCAGTCCCTCTTGGTTCAAAACCCTAAAGTAAAATATTATAAGTTCTCATTAGTATATTTCATTTCAGGTTAAGTACAGTTATAATCAGAGCTTGGGAAAGCAATGTCAAAGTGAGGTACAGCTTTCAACAGACAATACAGATGTTCCTCGCAGTTATTGGAGGAGAACTGCTTTAAAACAAGATGACTTGACAGGATAATGATTACCTATTTACTGTGACAAAATAGTTTGAGTCTCTGGTATGCTGTATGTCTCAGGAGAAAGGAAAACAACTGTGTCAGAGGCTTATCTTTCTAATTCATGCTTAAGCACTTAGTAGATACTTATTTTTATCTTGTAAAAACTATGGTAAAATTAAATTATGTTATGCATTGTTACAGTGCTTATGAAGAGTTTAGCATTCCTCTTGATCTTATTTCCCTCTTTATTCCATGCCAGAGGAACACTTACTTAAAAAGTAGATCCTGGTTATTTATCAGTAATACTGAGATCCCTTTAACTTCTTTGGGTGGAAAAAGAAACAGTATATTTATAAAAATATGTTTATGGTCTGCAGATTTGCCAATTTAATGCTTTATAGCTTAAAAAGGAGGACCAACACCCAAAATGTCTAGATACTGGGTGATGAGCAAGTTCTTTGACCTTTTAAGAACCCAAGGATACAGATAAAATATGTGTTTAGTTTTCAGAAAGAGTTGAAGATTCACTGGTGGATTAAGAAGGTCAGAAAAGAAATGAGATAGTAATTAACCTAATACAACACGTATGGAAATACGTAACTTTTGCAGACGATGTCAGGCTGGAGAAAACAGAGAAACTGTACAGACTCCGTCCTTACCAGCAGTGGATCAGAGAAGTCAGGCCTCTCGGGCACCAGCAGTCCAACCAAGGCACAGACCACGATAAACACGGTGCACATGCCCAGGACCACCACGGGCCAGTCGGCAATCAGGGCTGCGTAACTATAAAAGCAGAAAAAATTACAAAGAAGCCCTCTTAGGAAGCAAGGCAGAGTTCTTTTGCCACCCAGGAGAGCAGTTGATAAATCTTCACATGACCTAGTACAAATACTTTTCAATAAAAGATCTAGTGGGATTATAAGTATTTAAATGTAATTGTAGTAGGAAATTACAAAATCTAGTCAACTTCCATCGGGCATTCCGTTCCTATGAAGATCTGCAGTGTCAAGAGACTAAGGCACGGGGCAGGGCCTCTGGAAGGCGTCCAGGTTCAGATGCTCCGGGTGAAGCTGGTCAGTCAGGGTGTGGGAAGGGATCCAGAAGAGAGGGCGTCATGGCAGCATTTGGTAAAGGAGAGGTCCCTGCAGTCAGCAAGAGACTGAAGCCAGACCACAGTTGCTGGAGACTGCAAGGACGCGCCATTCTGTGATAAAGAGCAGAGGTCAGATGCTACAGGTTACGGGAGTAACCTGCACTTTACGTCTGCATCTGTGCCTGAGAAGCTCTAAAATCCACACTCGTAAGAGGAGAGAAAGTCTGTCCTTTCTGCCAGCTCTCAGACCTTTTGTTTCTGCAGTTATTCTCTCTCAGTACCTTTACTGTATCACTTCTTTAAGAACAACACAGCCTGTAAACACGCAGATACAGTGTAAATCTTAAAAATAACGAAACCAAGCTGCCTGGGGCCGGCAGCGGGTTAAAGCCCTGGCCTGAAGTGCTGGCATCCCATATGGGCGCCAGTTCTAGTCCTGGCTGCTCCACTTCCAATCCAGCTCCCTGCGAATGTAGCTGGGAAAGCAGCAGAAGATGGCCCAAGTGCTTGGGCCCTGGCACCCATGTGGGAGATCTAGATGAAGCTCCGGGCTCCTGGCTCCTGGCTTTGGATTGGCCCAGCTCTGGCCATTGCAGCCATTTGGGGAGTGAACCAGCGGACAGAAGTTCGATCTCTCTCTCTCTCTCCTTCTCTCTCTCTCTGCCCTTTAAATAAATAAATCTTTTTTAAAAAGATTTATTTTATTTATTTGACAGAGTTACAGAGAGAGGTCTTCCATCTGCTGGTTCACCCCCCCAGATGGCCGCAATGGCTGGAGCTCCGCCAATCCGAAGCCAGGAGCCAGGAGATTCTTCTGGGTCTCCCACGTGGGTGCAGAGGCACAAGGACTTAGGCCATCTTCTACTGCTTTCCCAGGCCATAGCAGAGAGCTGGATTGGAAGAGGGGCAGCTGGGACTAGAACTGGCGCCCATATGGGATGCTGGCGCTTCATGAAGGCCTGGGCTTTAACTCACAGTGCCACAGTGCCGGCCCCAGATAAATCTTTTTTTTTTTTATTTTATTTTTATTTTTTGACAGGCAGAGTGGACAGTGAGAGAGAGAGATAGAGAAAGGTCTTCCTTTGCCATTGGTTCACCCTCCAATGGCCACTGCGGCCGGCACACCGCGCTAATCCAAAGCCAGGAGCCAAGTGCTTCTCTTGGTCTCCCATGGGGTGCAGGGCCCAAGCACTTGGGCCACCCTCCACTGCCCCCCCGGGCCATAGCAGAGAGTTGGCCTGGAAGGCAGGCAACCGGGACAGAATCCGGCGCCATGATAAATCTTTTCAAAAAAAATAACCAAACCCTTCCCATTAACCTATAACTTTTCTTCTAGCTAAAACTATACTGAACTTATCCACTAGACTGAATCCCATGAAAATAGAGACTTTTGTCTACTCAGAGCTCTAGCAGTGCCTGGCACAGTCCCTTTAGAAGGTGCTCAGAACGTGGTTAGTGACTAAATGAACAGACACCCTCATAACTGCCACACCCTGGCGGTCTCCAGCCACTGGAGCCTGGCTTCAGTCTCTTCATCCATCGTGGAAACCAAATCCTGTCAAGAAACTCTTCCTTCCAGCCAGCCCTCCCATACCCTGTAAGACCTGTTTCTACAGCCCCCCAGAAGGTCCTGCCCCATTCCTATTGTCTTGATACTTCCAGGTCTTGATATGAACAGAATGCCCAAAAGAAGATAACTAAACTGAACTGTCTCTAAAATCTAAAACGCATTCTGTAAACTTCTGATTTCCTGAATCTGTAATATTATTATTATTAGAAGAAGACTAAAACCCTTAACTTGTGGATCACAACTCTCAAACTCACAGCAATGCTAGCTCATTTGGCTGCTATCATGGCTGCTTCTGGCTGACTAGAAACAGAGTCAGAACAATATTTACGAGTTACTTCTTCAAAATCATGCTAGCAGTTACAAATAAAACTGGTATCTCTCAATGTCATTGTGGAAAAAGCTCTATAGTATATATTTCTCTAAGAATGGATTGTTGGTTTTATGTACTGATCTCTCTCTCTCTTTTTTTTTTTTTTTTTTTTTTTTTTTGACAGGCAGAGTGAACAGTGAAAGAGAGAGAGACAGAGAGAAAGGTCTTCCTTTTGCCGTTGGTTCACCCTCCAATGGCCGCTGCAGCCAGCGCACCGCGCTGATACGAAGCCAGGAGCCAGGTGCTTCTCCTGATCTCCCATGGGGTGCAGGGCCCAAGCACCTGGGCCATCCTCCACTGCACTCCCTGGCCACAGCAGAGGGCTGGGCTGGAAGAGGGGCAACCGGGACAGAATCCGGCGCCCCGACCGGGTCTAGAACTCAGTGTGCCAGCACCGCTAGGTGGAGGATTAGCCTATCGAGCCGCGGTGCCGGCTTGTACTGATCTCTTAACTTCAAAGATTTGGTTTTGTGGAGTATTTGCTTCAAATTACAATTCTAATAAGAAAATTAAAATACAACATAAGTATGCTTTAGGGGAGCACTGTGCAGGAATTTCTACTGCCCTTCTTTTAAAGTAATCTTAGGAAAATAAATAATAGTAGCTTCACTTATGTGAATTATCAATTAGCTCTTGTGCTTTAGAAAGATGATATCATTTCATTTAATTCTTACAAGAACCTTATGAGATTAATCTGGGGCACAGACTTGTTCAAAGTTGCAAAACTGGGAATCTGGGTCTGGTACAAGAGCCTGGCCTCTTAATCACTATGCTGTCGCCTCTCTTCTCATACACAAGAGGAACTAAAGACTTTAGGAATAAGTAAACTTACCACAAATGGCTGCTTCCCAAAATTCACAATAAAAAATTCCTAGCCCCACTAATAGTTAATTTCTATACGCCAGATCACACAGATCCAGAGGACAATGAACATCATTCACTGGACTGCACATTTTAGATTAATAAAACTTAGGGGGAGGGCAGTAGGGTAGGCTGCCACTTGGGATTAGAGTGCCAGTTCCAGAGCTGGCTACCATGCTTCCCATCCAGGTTCCTGCTAATGTGCCTGGGAGGCAGCAGGTGATATCCCAAGGAGCTGGGCTTCTGCCACCCTTGTTGGATTCATTTGGAGTTTCCAGCTCCTGACATCAACCTGCGTGGGCCCTGGTTGTTGCAGGCATTTGGGGAGTGAACCAGTGGATAGAAGATCTGTCTCTCCCCTTCTCCCTCTGTCTCTCTCTCTCTCTCTCTCTTGCTCTGCCTTTCAAACCAATCTTAAAAAACACATTAATGAAAAATTATGGTAGATAAGACAGAATAACCTGTTAAGAATAATTTTGATTGTAATGAAAACATATAAATCACAGTATGTTGACTATGGCTGTTCAAATGTAAATACTAAGAAGCCAGAAGCTTTCACATTTCAAGAACACACCCAATGCAAAAAATATTTTCCTTATTTTATTTCCTCCTCCACCAAATGCAAACTAAGATGAAAGTGACTGGTTTTGAAGCAATAAAGTCCTTTGTCTCACTAGCTCATTTGAGACTTTCTGTTCACTGTTTGAGACTTTGAAAAGAGTCCTTTGCATTTCAGACCTTTAAAATACCAGCCCTGTGAAATGAAAATGGCCCCAGGCTTCTATAATCATTCATTATACTTTATTTTAAATGGATCCATTCTCTTTCAAATAAACCAGTAGTGCATTTCTTTTTTTTTTTTTTTTTTTAACCTACAAACATATTATCAGTGGAGGCCAGTGGGCCCCAAATTGCTTGGTTTTCATATTGTGGTTTCATTTGCCTATATAAAGACTTTTTGTTTTGTGTTCTTGAAAAATCTGCACACACATGCATAGCAACCTTCAAAATCTCATTCAATAATTGCTTTTCTTCCCTTTGAAAACATTTGGTTTTGATTTTATAGCACTGCTACAGACCTTACACGTGCACTGCCTACATATGGAAACTTGATGGCACTGGTGATTTCAGCACATTTCTCCCAAACACGTTTAACCTTACTATATTACAATTCTACAGCAGATGTTCCACGTGCTAACCTTTCCTAGACACAACTGCTCCTACTTCAGAGATGGAATCACCCCCTGAGCATACAAATAGCACCACGGGGGCAAAGCCCAACTATTCTGGGTAAATTTTACACGGCCCAGTGTATCTTCTACACCCCACAGTGCTGAGAACGTTTCTGGTTCTTCCTGCTGTCCATGCTGAGATACCATGCAGCTGTGGGCTGAGAAGTGGAAGTTTCATGTAGTAGGTGAAATCCAGACAGTAAGTGTAATACCAAGATAAAAATCTAATAAAACAGGAAAATTGGACAACTAAGGGGAATTTAAAATGGGCTATAAATCTCACCTGTACACGCATACATTAATTTTACTCTTAGGTTTAAGGTATATGTTCTAAGTTTAAAGACTAAATACCTGCGCATGATTTTCTTTGAAAAGTGTAAGAATTTTCAAAAAGATCGTTCCTTTCACTACGTGCCCTTTGGCACATTAAATATTACTTGTCTGTCATGCACCTGGTCTAACTTTAGAAACCTTTAGACAACGCCTCCTCACAGCTGTAAACACAGTCTGCACCCTGGGTTACAGCAGGTAGTCATTCTCCGGTGGATGGTGGATGGCTGGGTGAGTGTTTTCTCTCTGAAGCCCCACTGCCGGACTGCCGGAGCGGCTGCTGCAGTGAGGGGCCACAGCTCTGTGCAGGGTGCTGCGGTGTACAAGGTCACATCGCTTTCTCAGAAGGTTAGGTCTCAAACAGTACACAGATCTGAAGGCCTCACCCTCTTTTCAGAGGATGAGGAAACAGAAGAAGCAGAGTGAGCAGTGCTCACGACTGAGTAGTGGACCTGTGCTAGCGCGTGCTGCCCGGCTCTGGGTCCAGGTGGTCACCGCCTCGCTGGAGTTTTCATTGGTGTTCGATGGGAAATCCCTCAAATATACTCTGAGACTCTCAGCCACCTTATTATTGGGTTTACTCTGGAAATATCTCAGAAATAACTGTTAAAACAAACAAACCGAGTGTCTACAGGGCCAATTTATGCTCCAGTGACATTAAATGGGGGGCTTGTTTTAAATGGGTCATTTCTATTCTAACAACACCCCACCCACACACACGATAAATTTTCCTCCTAGCTTATAAAGACTTTTTTCCTTGCACTTTGCTGCCTTTTCCTAAACGCTCTTGTCTTTCTCCACTCCCCTCTAAGCAGAGAGCTATGCTGGGGAGGGTGTAAGGCCTCATTTTCCTGACCAACCACCCGTCCTTAACCCGTTGCAGCCATGGCTCTTCTGAACTGCCAAAATCAACTCACTCCTTATGGTTTTCATCTTCCTGACCTGAGCAATAATGAACAGTGTTAGCTATCCTTTCCTTCCTAAAAATCTTTTTTGCCTTGGCCATTCCTTTCGTTTCCTTTAATAACTCTTCCTTTATTCCTGCTGTCCCTGAAGGGTAGGACATTTCAAGATGTTATTAATCACAATGTTCCAGTGACATCAACTTTCAATTCAGTGGGGAAAGTCACTGACGTTTGAGAAATTTCACATGCGAAAAATAGGACACAGACGTCTTTCTTCTGTGTAAAGTATGAAGCCCATTCAACAATTAGAATTGAATAGGAAGGATACAAGGCCTTCTGGGAATACAGAATGATAGACACAGCTCTTATCCTAAAGGAATTTAACAGCCTAATACAGAAAATCATGCAAGCAGGGGCAAGCATTGTGGCATAGCGGGTTAAGCTGCTACCTGCAGCACCAGCATCCCATATGGGCATCAGTTCGAGTCCCAGATGCTCCCCTTTTGATCTAGCTCCCTGCAAAGGTGCAGTGGAGGATGGCCCAAGTGCTTGGCCCCTGGATCCACATGGGAGACCTGAATGAAGCTTCTGGCTCCTGGCTTTGGCCTGGTCCAGCCTGGGACATTATAGCTATTTTTTTTTTTTTTTTTTTTTTTTTTGACAGGCAGAGTGGACAGTGAGAGAGAGAGACAGAGAGAAAGGTCTTCCTTTGCCATTGGTTCACCCTCCAATGGCTGCCGCGGCCGGCGCGCTGCGGCCGGCACACCGCGCTGATCCGATGGCAGGAGCCAGGAGCCAGGTGCTTTTCCTGGTCTCCCATGGGGTGCAGGGCCCAAGCACCTGGGCCATCCTCCACTGCACTCCCTGGCCACAGCAGAGGGCTGGCCTGGAAGAGGGGCAACCGGGACAGAATCCGGCGCCCCGACCGGGACTAGAACCCGGTGTGCCGGCGCCGCTAGGCGGAGGATTAGCCTAGTGAGCCGCGGCGCCGGCCCATTATAGCTATTTGAGAAGTGAAACAGCAGATGGAAAACCTCTCTCTCTGTCTCTCCTTAACTTTTTCAAATAAATAAAATAAATCTTAAAAAAAAAAAAAAGAAAAATCACACAGGTATACAAATATCTGCAAAAACCAGGTAAAAATAGGTGTATTTTAGAGGGATTTAGAAGATGTTTTGTGAGTGAAGGGAGACATTACTACCAACTAGAGAGGAAAAGAGGAAATCAGGAAAGCTTTTTTTTAAAAAATTGTATTTATGGCCAGCGCTGTGGCTCACTAGGCTAATCCTCTGCCTGTGGCGTCAGCACCCCAGGTTCTAGTCCCGGTCGGAGCGCCGGATTCTATCCCGGTTGCTCCTCTTCCAGTCCAGCTCTCTGCTGTGGCCTGGGAGTGCAGTGGAGGATGGCCCAAGTGCTTGGGTCCCTGCACCCCATGTGGGAGACCAGAAGCAAGCACCTGGTTCCTGGCTTCGGTTTGGCACAGCACGCCAGCCGCAGCGGCCATTTAAGGGGTGAACCAACCGAAAAGGAAGACCTTTCTGTCCCTCTTTCTCACTGTCTAACTCTACCTGTCCAAAAAAAATTGTATTTATACGTATATGTACACACAAAACAGAAGAAATTAAGACTTCTTAAAGATAACAATCTACCAACAGAGAGAAAAATACAAGAGTCATTTCAAAATGCAAGTTCTGGTCATTTGAGAAAGCCCTAACATTTCTAGAAAAATGAAATTCATTTTCCTAATATGACATATTTATTTGCATAGCTCTTTCCCTCATCTTTTTTCCAAGTTTTTAATTGTTTAATATTGTGTAATTTTTTTCAGCAAAAATGGAAGAACTGGCTAAACAAATTTTGGTTTATATATACAAATGAATACTATTCCATTGTACAAAGGAAGGAAATTCTGATACATACTACGACAAGGATGAACTTTAAGCTAAGTGAAATAAGGAAACCACAAAAGGACAAATACTGCTTGATTCCACTCCTGTGAGGTACCAGGAGAAGCCACATCAAAGTTACAGAAAGTAGAATGGGGGCTGCCAGGGATGTGGGAGGGGGAGATGGGAGCTTCTGTTGAATGGACGCAGAGTTTCAGTTTCTCAAGATGAAAGCAGGTCATGTTTTGGATGGAAAGGGATGATGGGGATGGTTGTACAACAATGTGCATGTTCACAATGCCATAGGACTGTACTCTTAAAACAGTCAAAATGGCCATTTTTACCTTATATTTTATCACAATTTGAAAAAGAAATGTATTTTAATGGTTTTAGAGTTCTACTGAAATTTGTGTAGTAATTTCACTCTAAAAAGATAATAACTCCCTTGAGGTAGGCTTCAGAGTTATCAATATCTGAGCAATTGGATTTCAAAGGTTACTTTTAGTTTATTTATTATTGCTATTTTAAAGATTTATTTTATTTACTTGACAGGCAGAATTACAGAGAAAGAAGGACAGAGAGAGACACTGCATCCGCTAATTCACTTTCCAAATGGCCTCAATGGCTGGGACTTTGGGCCAAAGCCAAAAGCCTAGAAGTCCATCTGGGTCTCCCATAAGTGTGGAAGGTTCTCAAGCACTTGGATCATCTTTTGCTGCTTTCCCAGGTGCATTAGCAGGAAATTGGATCAGAAGTGGAGCAACTGGGATTTGAACAAGTGCTCATGTGGTATGCCAGCGTCACAAGCAGTGACTTATCCTGCTGAGCCACATGCTTAAGTTTCTTAATTATAAGGACATCTAATGAGATAATGCCTATTTCCAGAAACTCACAGCTATTTAAAATTTCTCTCTACTGAAAAGATACATCTTTTTTTTTTTTTTTTTTTTTTTTTTTGACAGGCAGAGTGGACAGTGAGAGAGAGACAGACAGAGAGAAAGGTCTTCCTTTACCGTTGGTTCACCCTCCAATGGCTGCTGCGGCTGGTGTGCTGCGGCTGGCGCACCGCACCAATCTGAAGCCAGGAGCCAGGTGCTTCTCCTGGTCTCCCATGGGGTGCAGGGCCCAAGCACTTGGGCCATCCTCCACTGCCTTCCTGGGCCACAGCAGAGAGCTGGCCTGGAAGAGGAGCGACCGGGATAGAATCTGGCGCCCCAACTGGGACTAGAACCCGGTGTGCCGGCACTGCAGGTGGAGTATTAGCCTATTGAGCTGTGGCGCCAGCTGAAAAGATACATCTTAAAATATAATGGTTTCCAGTTGCATTCATTTTGTTACAAAAGACAGGATTTCATTTTTTTAACTGCTGAGTAGTATTCTACAGTGTATATATACCATAATTTCTTTATCCAGCCATCAGTTATGGACATCTAGGTTGATTCCATCTGGGTTGATTCCATATCTTAGCTATTGTGAACTGAGCTGCAATGAACATGAGGGTACAGATAACTCTTTCACCTGCTGATTTCATTTTGTTTGGGTAAACTCCAGGAATGGGATGGCTGGGTCCTATGGTAGATCTATTTTCAGATTTCTGAGGTATCTCCATACTAACTTCCACAACAGCTGCACCAGTTTACATTCCCACCAACAGTGGATTAGGGTACCTTGTTCCCCACATCCTCACTTGATCTGTGGTAACTAACAGAGTACCCAAAATGTAATGTATCGGAGTGAGAGTGACACTTTGAGATTTGATGATTGTTTACAACCCTTGTCCTTACTTTTGAGGAATAGTGTTTTTTTCTTCATACTATTTGTTGAACTCCTTAGTTAATGTAGGGTTAATCTTATGAGCATAAAGTAAACTGAAAATAGATCTTTATAAAAATTAAGAGTGAAAGTAGGAGAGGGAGGAGAAAGAAGGGTGGGAGGGAGGGCAGGGTGGGAAGTATCACTATTTCCCTAAATCTGTATATATATGAAATACATGAAATCTGTATACCTTAAATAAAACTAAAAAAATTTTTCACACAAAAATACCTCCATCTTAATATGGTAACACAAATTTTTAGACAACCTATCTCAGATAAACTGCCATGAATTCAAGTGATGGTAGTGTGTGTGTGTGTGTGTGTGTGTGTCTGTCTGTCTCTCTTTCCTCAGCAAGTAAGAAACTGAAAAGCCAATCCCTTACAGGAAAGAACACAAAGTAATTAGATAAGTATAAATGACTCAAAAGAAACAGAATTTAAGGCCTAAAAATTTGCCCTGGGATTGAAATCACTTTTAGAGATATGGGATTCTTCAAGCAGCCAACTCACAAGACATTTATTTTTCCTTCAAAAACTACGAAGGAGAAAGGCAGACAGCACGGCAAAGTGTGGAGCAGGGCGAGCGAGCAGGGGAAGCATGCAGGCAAGCTCACATCAGTAAGAGGACACTGACTACCTTACCTTTTTGGCAACTTGAAAGGTCTGGATGGCCTGGAAAAAAGCAAAGATCAAACCATCAGAAAGGAAGCATCCTAACACGAAGGCTTCACTTTTGTCTCGACTGTTTTACTTGTTACCTCTCCTTGGAAAGCTTTAAAAGGAGAACGATTTGAGAGATGTTAAACATGTGGACTGAGCGCTGCATGGTGGCCACTGTGCACTGGTGGGTGAGTTCTCAGTACTGGAGTCAGGAGGCAGCACTTCTCGCTCCACACCACTCTCCTGTCGGAACACAGCCTTGGTGTACACCGCACCAAGACCTGCAGCTACCAGACTCACTGCCCCCCCCTCCCGCCCCAGCAGGAACTCATACCCTCGAATCTCCAACCCAAGCTGCTTCCTTATTTGATCTCCCAATATTTTTTTGATTGATAGCTTCTCATACTAGAAATATTCTATTCCCTCTTCAAGATATTGGCTGTTTCTCCATTTTCCAAGTTCTTCACGTCTAATTTCATAATGCATTTTAAAAAAGATTTATTGGGGCCAGCACTATGTTGTAATGGGTAAAGCCACCGCCTGCAGTGCTGGTTAGAGTCTTGGCTGCTTCAGTGCGGCCATCTGGGGAGTAAACCAGCGGATGGAAGACTTTTTTCTCTCTGCCTCTGCCTCTCTGTAACTCTGAGTTAGAGAGAGAGAGAGAGAGAGAGAGAGATAACCCACTAATCCACTGTTTCGCTCCCCAAATGGCCACAACAGCTGTAACTGAGCCCCTCTGAAGCCAGGAGCCAGGAGCTTCTTCTGGCCTCCCACACAGGTGCAGGGGCCTAAGGACTTGGGCCATCTTCTGCTTTTCCATGGCATAGTAGAGAGCTAGATCGGAAGTGCAGCAGCTGGGACTGGAACCAGCACCCATATGGGATGCTGGCATTGCAGGTGGTGGCTTTACCCACTTCGCCATAGTGCTGGCCCTCATCATGCATTTTAATAAGTCTGAGCTTGTATTTCCAATCGGCTCTTGCCCACACTCTATGTTCTCAGTCCCTCTCATGATTCATACCCCACCCGCACCCCCAGATAAGAAACTCCAAACTCAGTCTCAACTTCCAAACTTCTTATTCCTACCAGATTAGTTCTTTTCCTAGTTTACTTGGCACATAGTAAGCACTTAATAAATACTTGATGAACGAACAGAATCCACTACTCATGTTTCATTCTTTCCAAGTACAGTGGTTCTCATGATGTGGTCTGAAGACTGCTAGGAACTCCTGAGGCCCTTCCCTTTCCAGCTACGGATCTATCAAAGACCAGAGTTTCTTCAAATACTTCCAAATGGTAGATTGCAATAGGCTGACTGCAGAAGCAAATGTAAGAATTCTGCTATAGGCCAGCGCCACGGCTCACTAGGCTAATCCTCCGCCTTGTGGCACCAGCACACCGGGTTCTAGTCCCGGTCGGGGCGCCGGATTCTGTCCCGGTTGCTCCTCTTCCAGGCCAGCTCTCTGCTGTGGCCCGGGAGTGCAGTGGAGGATGGCCCAAGTGCTTGGGCCCTGCACCCCATGGGAGACCAGGATAAGTACCTGGCTCCTGCCATTGCATCAGCGCGGTGCTCTGGCCGCAGCACGCCAGCCGTGGCGGCCATTGGAGGGTGAACCAACGGCAAAGGAAGACCTTTCTCTCTGTCTGTCTCTCTCTCACTGTCCACTCTGCCTGTCAAAAAATAAAAATAAATAAAAATAAATAAATAAATAAAAAAGAATTCTGCTATCTTCTAGTAAGCCACACATCAAACAGATGTGCAAAAACGCAAAATAATACACATCTCACTAAATTTTGCCTTGGAAGATAAAATTTTTCCATCAAAAATTTTATTTATTTTAAGATGCAACGGGCTTATTGCTAGTTTTGAGTGCGTTAAATACATTATTTTAAATTTCTGAGTTTCAATTGCAATATGGTACATATTAGCTCCAACCCATATAAACATAAAAGCTCTTTAGAGGCTCTCAACAGTTTCTGAAAGTGTAAAGGGACTGTGAGGCCACAATGTATTAGAACCACCAGACTAATATATAAAAGATATGTGAGGGGCTGGTGCTGTGGCACAGCAGGTTAGGCTACTGACCACAGAGCAGGCATCCCATCTTGGCGCTGGTTTGTGCCCTGGCTGCCTACTTCTGATCCAGCTCCCTGCTAATGGCTTGAGAAAGCAGTGGAGGGTGCCCAAGTGCTTGGGCCCCTGCATCCATGTGGGAGACCTGGAAGAAGCTCCTGGCTCCTGGCTCCTGGCTTTGGCCTGGCCCAGCCCTGGTCATTGTGGCAATTTGGGAAGTGAACTTTGGGAAGTGATGAAGAATCCCTCTCTCTGTCCCTCCCTCTCTGTAACTGCTTTTCAAATAAATAAATACATCTTTTTTCAAAAAGATATGTGAATATTTGCTGATTGAATAAATGAATACCCTAACTATGTTCCCACTCTTAACCTGAACTCTGTCAGGCTGTACTAAGAGAAAACAGAGTAGAATGTAATTTTTTTCCCCTGTAATCTTTATGTTGCAAACCATTACTCTTCCAAAATTTGGAACTCTTATCTTGGAATTTCTTCAAGATCCAAGGTTATCTTCATTGTTTTCTCTTGCCATTTACATTTCTCACTAAGATACATGTATTCATTTAAAAACTTTTTTTCTAATTCTTAGCATAGCCATGAATAAGACTAGCTAGTTCCCAAACTTCCTGGAACTTAACATTCTAGAATGCACTTAGTATTGGCTGGTTTATATGAAAGATGCATATGTTCTAAATTTCATGCTTTCTTTACATGCCCTCATGATGGACTCCAAGCCATTAAAAATATTAAAACCAAGGAGATGGAACAATCTCAGATACAGCAAGCATGGGAAAGATCTGGAGACTACATTCCAGTTCCACGCCAGCCTGATTCTTAGAGACAGGACTCGGTTTATCTTTGGTCACTCAAGGTCTGAGTCACAGAACTCAAGTCCCCTGGTGCCTAATTTGTGCTCTCTGTCCTCTGTGTTTCTCTGTGAAACCAAGGGGGTAAAACCCAATAGGGACAATCGCAAAGTATTAGTCACTTATACAGGAGAAGAAGTATCCTTTCTCTTGGAAGATACAGAACTTAAAGTGTGGGTTTCCAGGGAGAACGTAAGAAAATTTGCTGCTGTGTCTGAATATTAGGAATATCAAAAGATCAGGTTGGTGTTTGCTACACTAATAAATGGGAATCTTTTATTATTTTCCTCAGAGTCAACAGCTTTTAAATCAGTAGGCAATGATAAAAAAAATTAAAAACCTAGGGACATAAACGTTAACATAGGTAGATTTAGTTTTATTTTCTATTTCCCCTCCTCATCCCCAACCCCAACAGTGTAATTTCAGCTCATCACCATCTGTCAATCCTAAACTCTTTTACCATTTTACCAAACTTTGTAAAGTTTTGTTTGTGTCTCTAAATCCTATAGTAGGGGCTCTGATTCAGTGCTCAGGGACTGTTAGTGTAATGGTTAAAGAGATCAATGAAAGTGAAAAATTCTTAAAAAGTGTTATACACTCCTTAAATACCTAATTATAACTTAAACATAAATGCCTTCTTGGCTGCTGGTCTTTTCTTATAAAAACCATACCCATGCTGCATTGTCTATATTTCCAGTTTTGAAGCACTTAGGAGACTTGTGAATATTCTGGTACAGTGACTATAATAAAGACCTAAACTTTGATGATTCCCTCCCCAGTGTTCTACAATTATTTCTCCCATCTCTAACTTAATAGTGAATTTTTTCCATAGTAATTAATCTTAATCTAGTTTTGCTGAAGGCTATAATTTTCTTTTCATAAGACAACTTTCTTTTAGCACCTAAATATGAATGGATCATTTATTTAAAATTTTAATTAGATGACATAATTACAAAAACAAGCCAAATTGGCACAGATATGTTTGGAAGCACACATGTCAAATGCTGGGAGCAGAAGGCTGTGGATGTAGGCGACAGCAGCCTTTTAACCTGAAGAGCTTGGCCTGCCTGGGCCAGGAGTGTGTGCAAGGGATGGAGTTAGTGAAGAACTTACATGCACACTTTACACAAACTGATCTTTCAATTGAAAGATTCACTCCTGAAGAAGCCTTGAACTATTGCTCGTTTTTTGGGTAATTCTACCAATTCCCTACTGCCAAACCTTATTTTTTCAAATATAATATATACTGATTTTTAAATGTTTTATTGAAATTCGATCTACACACCATACAATTCATCCATTTAAAGTATATGTCAATGTTTTTTAGTACTTTCAGAATTGTGCAACCATCACTACAACCATACATTGATTTTTAAACATGCTGTCTGAACACTAATGATGAAACTACTAATGAGCTATGAGAAAACTTATTTTTACACATACACACAGAGTGAGGCATTGAACAAATAAGCAAATTACTTTTACAAAAAACTGTAATTTTTTGCTCCCAATTTTCCAGTTATATATTCTCTTCAATTGCCATACATAGTTAATAGATTCTGCTATCTTTAGACCTAAAATAGCCTTGAGTCACAATTCTAGGATGTGTTATATTCAATATTTGCAAAGAAATGATATTGTATTATGTACACTTGGGGTTGTACAAAATATAAACATTCTTTTTCCTCCCACTCACTCCTACTAACTTTTTTTAACTGAGGAATTCATGGTCCTGACTAGCTTACTCCCTAGAAACAACTAGAGATTCATCACATTCTTTCTGCCTAAGTAAAGACCTCATTTTATGTTAAATTTGAGACAATAAGTAGGGATTGTCAACATCAGTTGAAAAAGAAAAATTGAGGCTACCACAAAGATATCTCCTGGGGAAACACTAGATTCCTTTGAAGTTTCTGTACTAATGGACATGACAAACAGATGTGGGAAACACCCCAACCACACTACAGGTAAAACATGACATCTGTTTGATTTACAGTGTTACCTTCTTTAATTCTGCCTTGGCAATCTCTTACCAGAAAATAACTGAGAAAAGAGGCAATCAAGGGAATATGCCA